ACCACACAGATCTTCCAGGGTTCTTCCAGGGTGCTCCTCACCCAAGTGTCCCCCTCCGCCCTCAGTGACAGCACTGGGTCATGGTTTGCAAAGCCAGGCTTTGCCCCACGGCCAGGCCATGAGAAGCTGCTGGCAGGGCTCTGCTCCACCCCATGCAGCTCTGACAGCTTCCGAGAGTCATTAGCTTGATGTGAATAATTAAAATACCTGCTGTGCTTCTAAATAGTTCAGAGCCAGCCTCGGAGCTGCATATGCGAGCCATGGCTGCTGTCTTTGGAGGAGGCCAGAGGAAAGAGGAGGGCTGATATCCAGTGGAAAATTCAGCGCTTGGTGCTGCTTCTGGCAGGAGGAGGGATGGTGCTGGCAGCTTCCAGAGGGATGCAGGCAGTCCCTGCTCCTGAGGGAGGCTGACACAGCTCTCCTTGCTGATGAACAGACATCACAGCACAGAACTCTCCAAAGTCTCCTCTCTGCCAAAAATCTGAGCATCACTGGAGCTCAGCACCCTCCATGCCAACTGCCTCAGGTCTCTTGTGCTGGTTCAGCTCTCCAAACCTGTGGGATGAGGATGTGGAGCAGGGGAACAGGGACAACTCCACAGCCTTGGGGCTCCATCAGCACTGGCAGCGTGGGGCCCCTCAACTGAGCACACACAGGTGGGCTCTGGGGAGGATGCACTGCCTTTTGTAAAGATTTCCCCAAGATATCAATTAGACACTGAAATCAAAACAGTTTCTGCATGAACAACTAACAAAGAGCTCCCTGCAGTCTCTCAGCAGCCGGACTCCTCCTGTTCCTCCCCCCAGCTGCCAGAGTTTGTATCAGAATAGCACTGAAGGGCCCATGCCCCAGCATGGAGGAGCTTCATTGAACAGGGGAGGATATCAAACACTGTGGCTGTGTCAGTGCTGCTGGAGCATGGAGCTGTAAATCATCTCTTCTTGTGAAAAAAAAATGGGTTTCTGGGCAGGGGATGGAGGGAAAAATGACATTTCCCATGAGTTAGTTTCAGATTGAATTAAACCATTGTTTGACCATAGAGCTATATCTTTTATATATATATGTATTTATATCTATTTTTCTGTGGAGACCCTGGACAATTCCAATTTGGGGTCACTGTGCAGTGATTTTTTTTCCCCTCTTTTTTTTTTAGTTCAACCAATGAACCAAAAAATTGGTTATTTTCACAGCTTTTCCATTATTACCTCCGGGGCAGGTAAAAGCAAAGTTTTTAGAGACAGGGAAATAAAGTCTGTTTGGGGACTGGCATGGTGAGAAACAGAGAGAGCTGTGTGCTGACAGCTTTGCAACAGTGTGTGAACATCATCCTGATGTTTGGTGCATTCCCTGGTCCCATGGGGGGAGTGGGAGCTGCCACCTGCTCCCCTGTCCTGTGGCCCTTTGCCCATGAAAGGCCAGGGCTCCTGAGCTGCAGATCAGCAAATTAGTCTTCTTCTCATCCACTGCAGAACGTTATCCATCTAAATATTTCCTTTAATTTAGAGCCATGTAGAGTTTGAAAAGCCCTTCAAGTTCACTTGGGCTGATGAATTGGTAATTGAGTGTACCTGGATGTCAGTGCCTCTCTCAGAATTTGTATCAGTCCGTGTTTGTTTTCTCCAGCTGTAAATCACTCAGAACTTGGAGAGGCTTTTATCAAATCCTGCTAGGAGCCAGTCTCTCTCCCTTTCACAAACACATTGCTAATGCCACGTGGAACCCACTGGCTTTGCTCTTCATTTAAAAACAATGAGGATGGTATTAAATGGGAAGGAAAAAAATCCTTAGCAACAAGGGAGAAGGAGGAGGAAAAGAATTGCTCCTGTCTCTCTGGAGTTTGCTCCTTTGGACTAATGTCTGTCCCATTGATCTCCTAATATGCTCTGCTTTGAGAGCCTGAGTTATTGCTCCACACTCCCTTATCCCCCTGGGTGTTAGAGCACACTTTGTTCTCAGCTTCTTCAGCCACCAGCAGGTCGGCTGCCAGCCTTGCTCCAGCCTCACCAGTGCTTCCACCTCCTGGGCTGCTCACCTGTGCCCCTTCCTCCAAAGCCCTGGCCAGCACTGGGCATGGAAAAATTATTCACTGAAAGAATAACAAAGTACTGGGATGTTCTTCCCAGGGAGATGTTGGAATCACCATCTCTGGATGTGTTTAAAAAAAGACTGAACATGGCACTTGGTGCTATAGTCTGGTTGAGATGTTAGGGCAGAGGTTGGACTCGATGATCTTAGAGGTCTCTTCCAAAAAGGGTTTAAGGGAGTCAGGGTCATCATCTAAAGGTCTCCAGGTTCTCCACTGTGTCCTTGGTGAATAGCTCTCCAGTGGCTTTGACAATACTTGGCTCTCCCCATCAGTTACAGAGGCTGTCTCCCTTCCCACATTGCCCATATCCATGGCTCAGCCCAGTAAATGTGCTCCAGCACTGACAGATTTGGCAAAAGGGAATTTCAAACAAGAGAGGTAACAGTCCTGATTCACATTTCTCGGAGCTCCTCTGATCCCTCACCCAATGGAAGAACGGAGGAACAGCACCACATGTCTGGCAGAACCCATCCACCCAGCCTGTGCTTGATTGCAGATTTTTCAATGAACTGTAACATTGCTGTTTGCTCAGTGGAAAAACCCAGCAAGTTATATCCATTGAAAAAGAAATGTGAGGACTTTGCAATCTGTGTGTGAATGTTTCCTGAGCATAAAATGAGGTGAAGTTTGCCAAACGATTTTTCTTTAGAAATTGTTCAGCTCTAATTGCTTGGGTCTAACTGTTCTTAGAAGGACTGCGTGACATCTTTGGAACATGCAGTTAAGGTCAGAAGAGTGTTGGTAGAAATTACTTAATGTTAAGTCAAGTTTTTATTTGGGTGTAACAGGGCTGTTCTCCCTTAGCTTAGAGAGAGCAGTAAACGATGCTGGCCTGTTAGTAAATGATGCCAGCCCAGTTAGCTAATGGAGGGTGAGTGGTGCCTTATTGACTCCCACTTTCTCTGTGGAAGGAGTAATTAAATTCACCTGCAGAATCCCCATCTTCTCATGCGTGGCAGTGTGCAACTTCCCTGCATCTCAGCTAACTAGATTAGAGATTACTCATGCTGATGAGAAAGCACCAGCTAGAAAGGCTCTGGCCTGGCTTTCAGATCCCAGCTGTTATTTGCAGGACTTATGCTTAGGAAAAGCATCCCTTTCTTTTGTTTTGCTTCTACCCTGACAAACTTTGTCTGCAAACCCAGAGGAATAAGCACCAGGAGCCCCACTGTCTGTCTTCCAGCAGCATTTTCTGAAATGGAACAGCACTTTAAAGTCTCGCCAGCTCAGCCTTTCACTTCACAGAATATGTGCCTGTCTCTAAAATACCAGCTTATTTTTCCTTCCCCCCATAATATTCCCATCCAGCATTCACTCTCCTGGAAACCACCAATCCAGTGTTCACCTACCTTCATTCAAACACCTGTCATTGTTCCTGTGCTACTGCTCTTCTCCTTCCAGTTTAGAGATTATATTTCATAACTGACCTCCAACTACCCATTGCCTCCCCGTGACACCTCACCCTTGTCTGCCTGATTGATTAGTCTATTATGCTCTGCACTCTTCCTGATGGCTTACAGATTGCCCAGTACCTGTCACAGGCTTCCTTTTGTTCTCTAATATTCTTGGAATTTTGGAACACCCTCCGGCTGCCATTCTCTCTCCATAGTCCCTGGCCACCACCTGCCTCTCTTATGAATGTCTAGTTTGGAAAAAATGACAAGAAATCTTTTGCAAAATAAACCCTTACCTGCTGTGAGTTCACACATAGGCTGGTAAAACACACTTCTAAGACACTGTAATTTTCAATGGGGCTCTTTATTTTCTTTGCACAATTTGGAGGTATAAAAATGTCATTAGATCAGGCTGTGATCAGTGACATGGCTTGGAAGGCAGCTTTCCCCAGGAAATTTCCTCACCTGCATAAGTCAATGAAGTGACAGAGAATGTTGTTTTTAAAGATGTGGGGGGTAGGAGGGTTCTGTGTCTGCTAGGGGAGAGGTCTGGGACGTGTCCCAGATCCATCCATCTCCCTGTGCCTGCCAGAGGTTGTCCAGCTCTCTGATATTGTTCCAGGCTTGTCCCAGCTCTGTCCATCACTCTGACATTTAATTAACTGCCCCATTCTCCTGGATCTTGCACAGGATTTGTCTTGTCTTTCTGAAACACCTCTTAGGTCGTGTCTCAATATTACCAACAGGAGGAGTAACAAAATGGTTGTCACCAATATTACTATTATTGTTACTGTGCAGATGATAATAAAACAAGACATCGAATATCACAAAGATGAGTACTGTTACCCTCAGTGTCACTTCTTCTTGCTGTTCTGGTTGTTTGGCATCATGGGTGAGCAGGAGCTGACAGCAGTGGGAAGCAGAGAGAGCCCTGGCCAGCCAGGCATCCAAAAGTAACAGAAAAACAGTGAAGGTGTCGGAACTTACCATTGAGAAAAATAACATCACACTTAGGATATCAAAATACATTTATGAGACCTATCTTCAGGTGTAACAGGGATTATTAAACTTATTAAAGCCTGCACATGCTGGGTGGCTGGTGCTGGTGGGGGCAGTGGCTCCTCACTCCTCCAGGAGCTCTGCATTGATGTTTTGCACCATCTGCCCTGGCCATGCCCAGAGCTATCCTTCTTCCTTGCATCTTCTTCCATCCTTGTCTGGCATTTGTCCCATTCTTTTTACTTCAGTCCCAGGTTCCCTTCCAGCATTTCTCACAGTCCCAAATCCACTGGCAAGTGGATTTCTTTTCCCTTTGAGTTACTCTGTTGAGCAGCTGCTCTCATTTGGACCTCCCTGTGCTCTTCATCCCCTTCACCTCTGGTTCCTGTGTCTCTGTGTTTGATCCATGGCTTAAGCAGCTGTTCTGTCCCTGGGATGGCTTGGTATTAATCAAGCCATCAATCAATCTTTTATCCCCTTTGTTGAAACTCCCTCTTATGCTTTCTCTTTCCTCCTTGCAGGTTAAACACTGGGCTTGGTGACCACCCGTGAGATCCTGAATGCCGTGTCCAGCGAGCCTCCCAGCCCCTGAGGACAACAACTAGGACACATCCAGGGCTGTGGCTGGGACCAGCAGTGACACACGGGCTCAGAGGTGAGGGGTGGCATCTCTGGGGTGAGAGGAGGAGCTGCCTGTGGGAGAGAGCCAGCAGGGATGGAGCAGGTCCCTCTGGAGAGGGCTGAGTGCTGGGAAATCCTCCCAGGGGTGGATGCTGAAGGGAGCCTCATTGCCAGCAGGAAAAATTGTGATGCAGACAGGACAGCGAGCCAGGGTTGTGTTTCTCACACTGCTGATCATGGGGTGGTTCCTGGTGGGCTCTTCTCCAAGTCTGACCTTCCTGGGGAATCCCTGAGCTGCACTCCTGAAAGCGTGGCAGCAGTGACACTTGTCGTGGTTGCATGTTTAATTTTTATTTTTTTATAAAGATTGAGTTCACATTCTTCTTTTGAGTTTTAGGGAATAAAGAAAAAGCACATTATTTCTCCCCTGCAGATGAGAAGTGCAGTGCGTGCCTCCAACCCAGCTTCTACAAAATTGTGTTTTACAAAGCAGAAAAGGAATATCAGGTTCATGTTGGAGCTGTAGCTCAGTTTTCTAAGACCAGATTTTGCCCCCTGTTCCCTGTTCAAATGACTAGCTGTGCTGGGCACTTTGAAATTTTCTCTCTCTTTCTCATCTCCACCTTGACATTATGAAAAGAGTTTTCATCAATCCATTGAAAGGAGGAGATAACTTTTGTATAAAAGTGCACGGTTGACAGGGTTGAGTTTTTTGGGTAGTGTGTAATTTTTTTTTTTACACTGTTATTATTTAAAAGATGCTTTCTAAGAGGACAAAAGGGAATAGCTTAATGGAAACAAATTTCTGTAGCAAAATGTGCAGCTGGATAAAAAAAGATTATTTCTGTTATTGCTTGGTTAGACAGGTGAATTTCGAATTTGAGTACAAAAGGTGCTAAAAAGTGTGCCTTAACTTCTCTTCAGTGTGCTGTTGAGATTGAAAAGAATAAATTTTGGAGAAAAAACTTTTCTCTGAGCCTCTATTTCCAGCATTGTCAAATCTTTAGCAGTGGCCTTTTCCCACAGCCATTATCATGTTTTCACCTTTTCTTCTTCCACCTCATTTGTCCTTTTTTGAAGAAAATGTAGTGCTGGTGAAAGGCAGGCAGGGCTGTGGGCTGGCAGTGATCTGGAAGGGAGGGACAGCAGGGCTAGAGGCTCACAGGCATGTCTGGAAGCCAGACCAGAGATGCAGTCCCAGGGAAAGATGGACAGCCTGGCCTGGGGGAAGGCATTTTGAAAGCATCTACAAGCCTGCAGCCCTAAGACCACCTTTCCAAAATGACTTTTAAGCAATTAGGAACCTAAGCATCAATGAAGATAAGCAGAGCTTAGGTGCTCAGGTCCCTTGGGGCAGACACAAATATCTCAGCAATGCAGACAGATAGACAGTTTGCCTGTCCAGATGGATCCAGACCCAGAGCCAGGCAATGAATTACAAATATAAGTGCCAAAACAGCAGGCTTGGGACACAAAGGATAAAAGACAGTTGTGTTATTTGAGCTGATAAACTCTGCATCTCGTCTGGAAGATGCTGGCATCAAAGGCTCCTGCAGGGATTTCACAATGGAGTGTTACACCATCCAGCACTGAGTTACCTAAGATGTAAAATGGGCCTTGCAGAGAAAGCTTCATGCCTGCCACAAAGGAGCAGAATTAGAATTTGTTTTGAGGGCTATTAGGCTGAATAATCTGGGATTGATCTCCATGGACATTGTGAGATATTGCTCCCAACAGAGCAATGATTGCCATTAGTGTCTCAGCTCCCTGCCTTCTTCCTCCTTTTCTCTCCAGCCTTTGCAAGGGTCAAATGCTTCCCAGGCAGCATGAACAATATTTCCTCCTTTTCTGGTAATCATTGTCCCTTCTATTCATTCCTCAGAAGCCTTTTCACAAGCAAGAGGTATTTTCAAGGGTTGTAAGCATTCATCTCAATGCACATTTTTATGCCTATTCTCCTTGGAAGAGCTGGAGGACTAGTTAACTTTATTAGACCAAATGAAAGGAGCTTATGGAGGTAGCCTTGTGCAGGAGGTCAGGGACCTGGAGAGGAGAAACCTCTGAGACATCTGTGGAATTTCTTGCAGGAGCTGAAAAGCAGCTTTTGCTGTTAAGATTGGTGCTGTTCTTCCTTGCATTGTGCTGGCTCCTTTTCCAGCACACAGTGCTGAGATCTTCTGCATGGTCCCATCACTGGTCCAGCCACAAGGGCTTAGGAGCAGTGACAGCTGTAAGTACCTTGGATTGGCAAGCCTGGAGGTAGCCAGGCTCACAGCACTGGGCAGGAGGTGCCCAGGGGGCTCTGGTGAAGGTTCCCACCTTGGGGAGCCCCAGCCTGTGGCATTTGTATTTTCTGAAAAATCCCTTCACCCAAGATTTTTCTCCTGAGAAAGGTGAGAAGTCTCAGAGAAAAAGGAAAACAATAATTATCTGATTTGCTTCTCCTGTGTTTTGCTTCTTTGGAACGTGTGTGGAGATTGTTTACCAACAGGTGATTGTTTCATTGGATTCTAGTGTGAGTTGTTTGGACTCATTGGCCAATCAATGCCAAGCTGTGTCGGGACTCTGGAGAGAGTCACGAGTTTTCATTATTATCTTTTTAGCCTTCTGAAAGTATCCTTTCTGTATTCTTCAGTATAGTTTATATGCATTATTTAATATAATATTGTACCATAAAATAATAAATTAGCCTTCTGAGAACATGGAATCAGATTCATCACTCCTTCCTTCCTTCCTTCCTTCCTCCCTCCCTCCCTCCCTCCATCTAGGGGGAGCCCAAATACAATTCCAGCCAGCCCATCCCAGGCCACACCCGACTGTGCAAACCCTTCTCCAAGCAGCCTCATGCAGTGAGGAGATGACTAAAACCTGTCTCCTGGGCAATTCACTTCATTCATCAATTAAATTGTTTGCTGTGAACGCTTTGGCCCCATCCAGCTCCAGGATTTCAGCCTTGTAATTTTGCTGGCAGAGGACAGCATTGCCGTGTCCGTGAAATCTGCCTGCCAACTGCTTCCCCTGCTAAGCATTTTCTAGGCTAACGATCCCAAAATCCTTGCCAGCAGCCCCAGCTCTGTCCCTTTCAGGGCAAGGCACTCATTTAAACGTGAGCACATCTAAATGACTCCATCTGCTAAGTGACGTTTGTAAAGAAAAGATTATAGCAGGAGTTAGTGCAGTGTCCTGGGGTTGCAACCCTGTTATAAAATGGGCTGGGAGAACAAGGGGACTGTGAGGAGCTGAGGCCCAAAACCACCTGGGTGACTGTCAGCTTGATTTATTTTCTTGCTCATTAGATAAATTAGAAAACTGGCAAAAGAAAATCATCTCCTGCTCTCAGCTGCTTGGTAACCTGCCACGTGGCACGAGATGCCAGCTGCAGGGAGATGCAGCTCCTTCCCACCCCTGTGGCCCCTCTCCCCAGGGACACAGGATGGGACTTGGGGCTGCTAGTGCCACACATCTCAATCATCCTGCCCCCCCAAACCACCTCACTGACCCATCTGGTCAATGGCTGGCAACCATTGGACTTTCACTTTTCTGTAATACCACTGGTTTTTGAATAGCAGCTATTTTCTAGGTGAAAACAGCGGCACCAAATATTGCTTTTGAACACTGGCTTTGACCTCAGAACTGCTTGTTATCCTCATTTCACAAATCAGACAGGCTAAAGCAAAATAACCTGGTTTGTGCTGTATCATCAGGCAGGATCTGCTGCCCTTCAGAGATGTTGTTCAACACTTTGATCTTGTGCCTTGTGCCCAGTCTGCCTTCAGCAGCTGTGTCCCCCTTGCTTATGAACCAGACTAATTTTTATCTGTCAGAAGGATGAAGCTTAATGGTCAAACTTGATTTAAATCCCTGGGTAAAATTCACTGTCTAGGAGGTCAGGCTCCATTTACAGCACCTTCTAACCTAAAAACTCACTGAAATATTCAGCCTACATAACCAAATGTTAAATGTGGACCATTTTAGCCATCCTCAGTTCCTTTAGCTGTGTCTGATGCACTCCTATAGTGGGAAATGAGGCCACTGTTATACACACTGTATTTACACACGAGGAAAAGCTCCAGACAGGATGAGCTATTAAGAGACTGCAATGCATTTCCAGCCAAGGTGGAGGAATCCCAGATGCTGAAAACAGGGGAGATCCAGGGCAGGGAGCTCTTGGGAAGGAGACCTGGGGGTTCCACCACTGCTGTGCCAGTGCAAGGAGGTGTGGGGGCAATACCTGCCCTGTGAATGATGGTTGGAGCAGGTTTCCTCTGCTGTCTGTGCCCGTTCTTCTGCCTGTGGGATTTGTGTGCTGCCTGCCCAGCATCCCTGTCACCCTGTCCCAGGCCAGCATAGGGACACACACACGTGTCCCGTGGCTCAGCCCCCTGCCAGGTGTGTGCCCATGTGTGCAAACGCTGCCTGGAGGGAGGGCGGGCACACCGGGCTAATTCCTTCCTGTCATATCCAAGGAATCGGCTTACAGCCCCGAGCTCTGATTACTCTTATCTTAGCCTGCACGATGCTGGCCACATCCTGAAATTACCCGGATTTTTTCAAAATCCAGGGGATGGCTTGGACTCACAGCAAACTACAGCCCTGCTTTCAACCCCAGCGGGTTTGAGGGGCTGTGAGTCAGTGTGGAAGATGGGGCATGTGGTTTGAACCTCCAAATGCATCTGGGTGTGATGCCCAATCCAACCTGAAATACCTGATGGAGTCCTACGTGGACCAACACCAACAGCCCCTTCCCAGCCCCTGTGCAGAGCTGACTGCTCAGGCAGACTCACCTGCTGGGATCCTGGCAGACAACATGCCTCTGAAACAGCCAGCCAGGGAGAGATGCTGTCAAGCAAAACATGGAGTGAAATGTTTGTGCTGCTGGGATTAGGCTGTGAGTCCCACCTGTCTTTGTGTGACATGTGGCACTGCACCCTCCATCCACCAGCACTCCCCAGTCCCCATCACTGCCTGCCAAGCCCACCCTGCTTGGAAATTCAAGTGGGGAAATCAAAGTCCTTCTCCACCCACCCCTGCTGT